TTCCTGCTATTTCCAGTGTTAGTGTGTCATATCCAATGGATACTGTGGCTCACTGCTCTTCCAGCAAGAGTCTTCTGAGCTCATACTAATTTGTGTTGCAGTACTGAGAGCTTAAAATGAGAAGAAAGCATGAAAAACTAACTAGCTATCATTGAAAAATGTCATTGGAATACTTGTCTAATTGGAAGCTTTTCTTTCATTACCATAGTTCTTCTTTGAAGTTCTTCTTTGAAGCATGAAGTCTATCACCTTTGCTACTGCTGCCATAGTAAAAGGCTGAGCTAAATGGACCCATCTGTTCAGCAGATTGTAAGTAAGCCAAGTCTTCATATCTCTTAACTCTTCTCACCTCTTATATAGGAAGCAGGGTGGTTTGATTTGTTTGCTTTCTTGAAGCAAACAAAGAAGCTGAAGGATTAAATCCTCACTGAGGAGGACACCCCTCCTGGAGGAGGGAAGAAGCAGGGAAGGTGGCCAGCAGAAGGAAGGAGGTCACAAATCCATGGTTATGTGGTAAGTGGTGTTCTCAGCCTTAGTGTCCTTTTCTTCCGCTTAAATTTGCTAGCAAAGATTCTGATGTAGTCAATATTTTCCTTTTCCTGACACACACACACGCACACACACACACATGAAGTCTATACAGTATAAAATGACCTGAAATATTTGAAGTGGCCGTATCTGCGTCGTGATACAGAGGCCTTTTCTTTGTGTTCTGAGTGAATACTGAGACTCTCTTCAAAAAGTGGACTAGGGATCTGTAGCAAGGTTTTTCCAGGAGTCTGTCAATGCTAGCAAAGTGTATGGAGAACAGCCAAGCACAGAAATGTGGAATCAAAGAATCATTCAAGGCAAGTCTTTCATCAGCTAGCACTAAGAACACAATGCAGGCCTTTTCAGTGCCTACATTTACAAAAAGGAATATTAAAATGTAGAATTGGCATTTTTAAGAGTAAATCCTTGTCTAATCCAGTTCATGTATCCCCTCTGCAAAAACAGATAATCTTGTATTTGATTTTCAACATCTGTATTAAAGGATTGTCTAAGAAGTATTTATTTCTTACAATATAGGCATTGCCCTGATAGAGTCTTTGTGAAGGAAGAAAGGTGGAGGGAGCAATAAGGTGGAATAAAGAGTTTTTGAAACACTCTTGAGGTTTATTCTGTTAGTGCTTGGCCAAGCTTGCTTTTTGACTGGAATGGTTAAGCTGGGAATCGTCAGGGGTCTGATGAAGGTTGTGGTTGTTATTTGGCATTTTTAACTGTAATGCTGCTTGTTCTACTAAGCAGTTCTGTTTTAAAGCACCTTTGCCTTTCACATGGCCTGATTATTGTTACAGAAACCACCAATTGCTATAATGACTTGAGGCCTATCTTGATCTGCTTTTTTAAGAACAATAGGCTTTAGCTACACAGAAAATTGAACTAGCTAGTTGGATTCAGTTTCAACTTTTTTTTTTTTTTTTTTTCCCTCTGGAAGGTCTAATGTGGAAATTCACATTTCAAATTCAGACCTTGAGTGATGTAAGATAAACTAAAAACAAGGGCCTTAATAATGTTGGCATGGCAATTTGCAATGGAATCCAGATAGGAGAAATGAGAGTAGTTTTCAGATCATAGTGTTTGCTTTGTCATGGTTGTTCTTCAAGAGCTTCTCTACATTTGCATGGGAAAGTCAAAACAGGTTTAAGTCCTGGAGGACAGCACACAATGGACTTCCTTAAAGATGGAGGGAGTCTTTTAAAATTTGTTCAGTAGGTGTGAAATAACTTAAAATTTGTTCTCTAACTGTTGACATAGCTGCTACAACTTTTAAAAGGGAATTTAGGTACATGCAGGTAGTCATGGTTTGTAGGACTTGAGATGAATTCAAGGACTGAGCTCACCATCAACTTTTGAAATAGCTTTGATAGTTTAAGAAGTTAATTCTAGTAAGAAACTTCAGGACATCTTTTCTTTTTAATCACTGCTGCTGTACTATGTGGAAAGCCTTGGGACTGTTCCTGTACATTCACAGAAGCACATAAATGCATGTATCTGTTTTTGTAGTTATACCCTATCCCTTCTAACATAAAGTCTACTTGGGGGCTTATTTAACATCTTTTTTTTAAAGATGATCTGCAGTAAAATTTTACTTGGCATTTAATGGTGAATGGAGTCCAAAAGGCTTTGGAGGAGTGTTGAATAGAGAAGAATCATTTTTTACATGTTATACAAGCCCATTCTTCAAAGCCTGAAGGATTTTACATATGATTTAGCCTCAAAATAATGAAGCAGGACACTCAAATATTTGTTTTACAGACTAATATAAACTGAAGTAAAGAGAAGTGATTTGCTAGTCCCTTTTACCTGTTGTAGAGCTGAGAATAAAATCCTGAGGACTTTATTCTTAAACCTATGGTCTAGTGAGTGAAAAATAATTATACAAGGGTATCTCAAAAGATGTTTTAAAGCTCCA